GAGGTCAGGAGTTCAAGACCAGCCTGGCCAACATGTGGTGAAACCCCATCTCTACTAAAAATACAAAAAGTGGCCAGGTGTGGTGGTGGCTGCCTGTAATCCCACCTACTTGGGAGGCTGAGGCAGGAGAATCGCTTGAACCTAGGAGGCAGAGGTTGAAGTGAGCCGAGATCGTGCCACTGTACTCCAGCCTGGGCACCAGAAGCGAAACTCCGTCTCAAAAACAAAACAAAACAAAACAAAAACAAACCAAAAAAAACGGTGAGAGTTCAGTATTACAGCTGAGTTGAAGTAAAACCTAACAATGTGAGAAAGTATGAACTAAGCATACTTAGAGGTTAGCAGTTTAATACAGGAGCCAGCACAGGCCTCAGAATCCAACAGACCTAAGACTGAACCCAAACACAGCCACCTTCTAGCTATGTGACCTTGACAAGTCATTTAACTTCTCTGAATCTAATTCCCTCATCTGTAAAATGGAAATACTACACCTACCTTGTCAGTTTACTGTGAGGAAGAAACGAACCAATACATATATAAAGCACCTGGCACAGTGCGTGGCATAGGAGGCTCCTTGGGAATTGCTTCAGAACTTAAATAGCTTACCCAAGGTGTCACAACTACGTAAGGTGGCCCAGCTCAAGATTCAAATGCAGGTTCCTATGACTCTGAATTTGGTGTTCATTCTACGTCACGTCTCCCCAGAACTTGCCCACTACTGTGCTACTCTTCTCAGACACATCACAGCTGCTCTAAGATCTTTTCCCTTCAATGCAATAGTTATATGAAGTTTTATAAGGTCTTCCCTTTCACGCTCATTTTACTAGATATGTTTCTTCTTTCCAACCCCTCTTCGGGCAGGCTGTAGCAGAGAGAACATACACAAACACTGTAAACTACACAGGTTATGACCACACAGACCACAATAGATAATTAATGAAGAACAGTCAGATGATGTGCCTCTAACCTCTTGCAGGATCTTCAGCAGCTCCTCCCGGATCTTGAGTGCGGGCAAGCTCCGGTCTGGTAGGGGTGAGAGCCACTCTTTGATGGCAGACATCACACCACTGTCAATGAATGTTTCTTTAAGGTCCTGCCTGCAGTCATAAGAGGAATTTTTAAAAATTCCGCGAACCTTGGTTCTACTGTATCTTCTGACTTTTCTTACATAGTTAGTGATGTTTCTAAAAACTGCTTTAAAAAAGTTATTCATATAAATTTGGTATTTACTGAACACCATTCTGGTTTCAAAAGCAGTGTGACATTTAGTTCTTATCTTCCAGAAACGCATATACCTGACAAAAAATGATTTGCTGAAAACAAAACAAACTCAAGTTACATAAATTAATGCTGATATGAATGGTACAGACAGTAAGAACAATTAACTCCAATCATTTCAACTAAAAAAAAAATAACGTTCAATCTATCGAAATAGTGATTATTGAAAAATTGTACATGGTGGTGAACCCAGAATTGCTGTTCTCTGCAGGACACCAATGAGACTAGCACTCTACTGGCAGGACAAAAAACAAACAAACAAACAAAAAACACCCTCAATAAAATAATACTTAAATTCCATTTTATGTACTAGAATCAGTTATGTTAACAGAAAACAAGACATTATATACATAAAACCCGCCACAGAGAGTTTTCCCTGTTAGAACACAGGGAGAAATTTTCTAGTTACAGACGCTCTAGGCCATGCTGGTGGTGGCTCACTGATGCACCAATACATTTCCTCAGTCATCAAAAGCAGGCTATGGCTTAGTTCAAAGGGAAAGCAAGGTTGCTCAGAAATATGAGCAAATCGGGGCCTACCGTGGTGGCTCACACCTGTAATCCCATTCCAGTACTTTGACTTTCGGGTGTAGAGACGGGAAGATCGCCTGAGCCCAGGAGTTCGAGACCAGCCTGGGCAACACAGCAAGATCCTGTCCCTAATTTAAAAAAAAAAAAAAAAAAAAAAAAAGCAAATCAACGAAAAAAGTTAGAAACAAGGATCTACTCAAAAAGGGCATCATTACTTCAGAAGGACCAATAATTGTGACCCATTAGAGTCATATAAGCCTTGGACAATGCAGCCTTCAGGTAGGGTCTCCAAGATTTACTGTTTTCCATCACACGGAGAAAACAAATGTAATTTTACCAGACCAAAAACTGTCTATAAAGAACAAAATTAGGGGCCAGGTGCAGTGGCTCATGTCTGTAATTCCAGCACTTTGGGAGGATGAGGTGGGAGGATTACTTAAGCCCAGTGAGTTCAAGACAAGCCTGGGCAACATAGCAAGATCCTGTCTCTACCAAAAAACAAAAACAAAAACACACAAAATTAGTAGTTTCCAAGTTTTTCTTTCATTAGTATCAATTTTTTATTTGTTCTGTTTGCACCAGGCATCAAGGTTTAATAAAAGTTTATGAAGAAATATAATTTAGGAAATTTTATTCATTATCTTTCTGTGAACTGATAGAAGGCTATCATTATTTAGTATTCCTAGAACACCAGTACATCATTTGAATTATCATTCCATGAAAAGGAAAAAGACATTTTAAAGAAAACAAAACACTTACTTCTTAAGGTGCATAACTACAGTAGGCAGTAAAGTTAATTTTTTCAGTGCCGGCTTTTTTTGATTGTTCAACTGTCTGTCTTCCTATTCAGAAAAAAACAAAGATTTTTTTTTAAAACAGTACTCATTGTTAATATTGAATTCACTGTAATTCTGAACCTTAAAATAAAGTAACAGTTTTTCAAAGAAACAATTTTTCCTACAAGAAAGAGTAACTTAAGAATGGATCTTTTGCAGAGCACCAAGCTCTGTATCTATGTCAGTCAAACCCACAAAACTATTAGAATTGCCTTTAACAACTACAAGTTGAGAGAAACCATTTTAAGTTAGAATATTAGCATGACTGTCAAGTTTTCAGAGTTCATTAAAGGTACAAATTACAACTGGGAAATTTTGGTTTATGATATTAGGGACAATTTTCCAGGTGTGAGGTTATATGATATTGGAATATACTATATCAAAGAAGAGTTTCAGTATTTACTTGGGCAGTTTTTTCTATTTTTTTTAAATTATGAAAAATTTCAAAGTCTACAAATACAGAATGTAGAATAATATGCCTGTTGCATACATTTCAACAATTAAATACACACGGCTAGTCTTCTTTTAGCTACTTTCCTCCATTCTTGAATTGTTTTGAAAGAAATGCTAGACACAGATCATTGAATCCACTGCTGAACTCTCAGTAAGTGTCTCCAAAAGATCTGAACTTGTTTTTTAAACATACTACTGGGCCAATTTTTATAAGTTGAGCAGATTTTTACAATGCAATGGAAGAAGCCATGTCTTGATCAGGAGCAAGAGAACAACACATGAATTTGTAACACCTTTAATATATGAAGAAACTAAATTTTGTGGTGAACTAGCCAAATCTGAGAATAAAACCATGCCCCATGAAACTAGCAAAGCCATTCACCTAAAACGTTTCATTTGACTGAATATTTCATCTTTTCACTTTTTCTAAACACGTGACTAAAAAATTAAAATAGTTCCATGATTAAAATTTAGAACAGTAAATGCTTTATTACAAAAAGCAAAGCATCTTAACTGTCATTTAAGGGTTAAGCATCAAAAAAAGGGCATCCAATAAACTCAGTGGGAGGAAAAGGTGAACCTAGAAACAACACAACTCACCTCAGCAGCTTCGTTCATCTTGACGATCATGGCGCTCACGACGTCGTCTGCGTCACTAATAAAGGTGCCACCATCACGGTTTCGCCTGCGCTTGCCACTCATGCTCTTTTTTCGCTGCAACATCATCTCAAAATCCGACAGAAAGTCCATACTAAATCAGTAAACAAAAGCAAGTGAAATACAAGTTGTCTTTTAAATACACATTTACTTTCACCACAATTAATAACACCAAATTTCTTAATTCTAACTCAATGAAGTGCTACCTTCTTTTAAAAGTGCAAGTACAGTCATGCGCCGCATAACGATGTTTCGGTCAATGACGAACTGCGAATACGACGGTGGCCATCCAGTAAGCTAAGGTTAACTTTTTATTGAAGAAAAAAAATATTTTTTGTAAATTTAGTGTAGCCTAAGTGTACAGTGTTTATAAAGCCTATAGTAGTGTACAGTAATGTCCCAGGCCTTCACATTCACTCACCACTCACCCAGACCAAATTCCAGTCCTGCTTTCATTCATAGCAAGTACCTTAAACAGGTGTACCATATTTTATCTCACACACACATACACACACACACACACACACACACACACACGCTCTAAAGAGTTGGGGTGTTGCTCTGTCACCCAGGCTGGAGTGCAGTGGCACAATCCTAGTTTACCGTAGCCTCAAACGCCTGGGCTCATCCTTCTACCTTAGCCTCCTGAATAGCTGAGACTACAGGCCCATACCACCATGCCTGGTTAATTTTTTAAATGTTTTGTAGAGACAGGGACTCACTATGTGTCACCCAGGTTTGTATTGAACTCCTGGCCTCAAGTGATCCTCCTGCCTCAGCCTCCCAAAATGTTGAGATTACAGGCATAAGCCACCACGCCCAACTATACTGTATTTTAACTGTACCTTTTCTATGTTTAGATACACAAATACCATTGTGTTACCACTGCCTACAGCATTCAGTACAGTAACATGCTGCACAGGTTTGTACCCTAGGAGCAATAGGCTTTACCATACAGCCGAGGTGGGTAGTAGGCAATACCATGTAGGTTTGTATAATACTATGATGTTCATACAACAGCAAAATCACCTAATGACACATTTTTCAGAATATATCCTGTTAAGCGACGCATGACTGTACTTACAACTTGCTATTAAAAGAACAGTTGATCCTAGACTTTATGTTCAATTCCTGTACTACCCTGTCATATATATACACATGTAAATCACTAAAAGCCCGGAACTTCTCATGCAGTATATCCACACTTGCATCTATCAGTTTGAGAAAGTACATTTTAAGTTCCAACTGAGGGGACTCATTCAGCTTTAGTGGCACTGCCCTTTCTTGGACTAGGAAGGTGTTCATTATCTGAACGCTGTTGTCTTATACATCATGAGCAGAAAAAATGAAAAATAAGCTGCCGCTTTTCAGTGATAAGAAGTATAACTCTCAAAACATAATGAGAGATACACATGGAAATCTATAGGCTTGCTAAGTGCCTCAAACCTTTATGGCTTTCTTCAGAATCATTCCACTTAAAAAAGAGGAAGTTATTCTCTGCCACTATCATATCAATTCAATTTCCAGAAGTACTACCAGACTCATTCGGTTTAATTACTGCATGCTGCTAGGAATTCAAAATGAAACTACTTTTTAAAAACATCTTTACAACTGGAAAGAGTAACTAATCCTTCTATTACTGTATAACATCTTTTAAGATATCAGATTTTTCTGAACATAGATTCCAACTAGCTCAACAAAAGTAAGTTAAATATGGTCAAGTAATATTTTGTAGTTAAGATGTTAGACTTACTTCCCCTGCCCCATAAAATCAGCTTTTCTCTCAAAAAGATATTTTTAAAATTAGGTTATTTTTCATAAGAGTTTATTTGGTGAACCATAAATTAAGTCTGGTGCCATATAAATACAATTCCACAAAGAAAGACATCTAAGCACAGGCTAAATGAAAACAAGTAACAACAGCAGGTAATTCACTGACAACACCGTAAATGGAGAAAAACAGGAATAGATCCACTCCTAAACTTAAACGGGAACCAAAATGAAAATGTAATAGTCTCTACCTTGATTTTTTAACTTCTCTTTAACAAATTCCTTAAAAACAAACTTACTGTTTTCCTCTCTTTATGTTATCATCAGAATCTGAATCTTCTGCTTCTTTTACCTGTGTTTCACTTTTTTCTTCTTCCAGATCCTCTTGGTTAAAACCCTAAATGCAAAATTATCACAACCTCCTTACAGATTTTCTTCTGTATTAAGTGTTCTTAGTATTTTGCATTTTTAAATTAATTCATTCACAAAGAACAAAAATTCAATAGATATCAAAAGGTACATAACAAAAGGTCCCTCTCCAGCCACTAGTGTTACTAGGTTTCTTGCGTTTCCTTCCAGAAACAATGTACGTTTATATAAGCACTTCTACACATACTTCGCATCCTCTCTTATTATACAAATGGAAGCATACTATTCAGAGTGGGTACGGATAATGCTCTGCATGTTCCAAATTTAAGAAAAGAATCTAGAGGCCAATGCATGTCAGTATTAAGTCTTGTCATTTTTTTCAAGGCTTTAGACTATTTCACAATATGGCTGTAACTATGATTTGTTCACTTATTTGCCTAGTCACATTTAGTTTTACATATTTGAAATTGCGAAATACTTGCCAAACTGTATTCCATAGAGGTTATACCAATTATCTTGTCAGCAAGCATGAGGACTCCTGTTCCCCTACGTCCTCACTACTATAGCAGGCTATCAAACATTGATATCCACCAATCTCTGGACGGAAAAACAAATCTCAGGGTAGTTTTATTTGCATTTTCTTACTATGGGGGTAACGTTGGGCATTTTTTCACGTTTACAAAGCCATGTGTCATTCTTTCCCTGTGAACTCTGAATATCCTATGCGCATTTTTTGCTGGACTGTTCATCTTTTTATCACTATGTAAAATCTCTTTGAAAATTAGATATAGCCCTCTACAAGTGACAAGAACTGTACAATCCCCACATTTGTACAGTTTTTGTTGATGCTAATATTTGCCAGGCATAACTTTTCATTTTTATGTAAATGAAATGGCCAGTCTTTTCTTTATGGCGTCTACCTTTTGTGTTACACTTAGAGGCTTTCTCAGTGGTTCACCTAGTATATTGTTTTTCTCACTGAACTGAAACTATAACCAAGTTGATGTTAAGTCTCCAAAATAGGTAAGTATACCTTATTCTTACAATACGGTGCTTAACTAAGTATGAGCTCCATGAAGGCAGTGTCCAAGCAGTCTCTGAAACATTTGTTGAATCAATTCTTCCTTTATATTTTCCTTAGGTTTACTTTCTTATTTCACTATTGTCCTGAATTTGATTCTAAATTCATCTACCTTCACTCTCTATTGCATTGGTTAAAAATAAGTATTGCTTTTTTAACCCAAGAACTATGTAAGCAGGCTTTAAGTTTCTGAGTGGCAAACAGATTGGAAAATATATACAGACACTTGATATATGACAAAGATGGCACTACAGAATAGTAGGAAAGGATGATCTTTTCAATAAATGGTGCTGGGTCAACTGGATACTCCAAATAAGGAAAAAAATCTTAACTTTTACCTCATATCACATACGAAACCAATTTTAGGTGAATTATACAATTAAATGTGAAAGACTGAATAATCAAGCTTCTAGAAGATAACTTGTATCTTCATGACCTTGGGGACAGGAAAAATTCTTAGGCAGAATTCAGTTTTCACCATAAAGAAAAAGATTGGTAAATTTGATCCTATGTTAAAATTAAGCACTTTTGTTCATCAGAAGACTCCATGTTAAAGGAATGAATTTAAGATAGTCTAAAAAAATTTAAAAGTTAAAAAAATTTTTAAAAAAAGACTCCATTAAGAAAGTGAAAAAGAAGTAACAAAATGAAAGGTATTTTTAACATTCATAACTGCCAAAAATGATTATATCTGGATTATACAGAGACTCGTCCCTGTTTTTTTTGGTCTGCTTCCTCTGTCAGTTACATTTCTCTTAGATTATGGATTTGTCCATTTCTCTTTTCAGTTCTATCAATTTTTGATTTTTATGTGTGCATATATATATAAAGTCGTGTTATTAGGTGCAAACAATTTTAAAATCTTTTTATCGATATAAAGTGACCTCCTTATCTCAAGTACTTTTTTTTTTACCTTAATGTCTACCTCCCTCTTTTAAAATATTATAGATACCACACCAGTTTTCTTTTGGTCCATGTTTACATGAAGTCCCTTTTCATGTACCTTTATTTTCAGCTTTACCTTCTGTTTCAGACAAATCTCTTGAAAACAGTATTTGGCTGGTTTTTAAGATCCTGTCTGGCAATTGTTGTCCTTTAACTGGAACATTCAGTATTTACATTTAATTTAATTTCTGATATTATCAAAATTTAAATCTGTTTTACCATGTAATACTTTCTACTTTCTAACTGTCCCTTGTCCTATCGTTCTTTTCCTTTCCTGCTCATTTTCGACTGATTAGCTCTAGTTGTTCCATTTTCTCCCCCCTCTATTAGTTTAGAAATTACGCATTCCATTTTAGTCTTTTTAGTGGTCACTCTAGAGACTACAACACGCACCCTAACTTATCAGTTTACTAATGTACGTTCATAGACATTCGCAAAGGCCTGAAAGCACTTCAATTCCATGTATGCTCCCAATTCACTGCTGTCATGTTTTCATTTTATATATATTCCACATTAAACACATTTCATTTTGTATAGTCAATACTCATTTAGACTTATACACATACTTTTGTTGCTCTTTTCTCCCTCCTGCATCTCTAACCTTCCATCTGAGATCATTCTTTCTTGCATTTCTTTCCTTCTGTATTTCCTTCAGCTGGTACATTGTTAATTAATTCCCTCCTTATTTCATCTTCATTCCTGGAAAGTATTTTGGCTAAATTTAACGAAATTCTAGGTTTGCCATTAGTAGATTCTATTGTTTCTGTTGTGAAGTCAGCTGTTAGTCTAATCGTTACTTTTCTGAATGTATTTTTTTTCCTGTGGCTTTTACACTTTCCTATTTTCGTTGGTTTCTTGCAGTTTTATTATGATGTAGTTAGGTGTAGATTTCTTTTTGTTTATCTTCCTTGCAATGTGTAGAACTTCTAGAATCTATGGTTTAGGTATCATTTCTTTTTAAAACACTGCTTCTGCTATACATGTAATTTTCCCTCTCCTTTCATTATTCTAATTTTTGTGAAAACTTTTCATATATAGTCCATGTCTTTTACTTTCTTCTATAACAGTATATTTCAAAGCTTTATTCTAGATCCCTCCTTCTAACCTATCTTCCAGTTCACTAATTTTCTTTTCAAGTATGTCTAATCTGTTGTTAAACTCAACCACTAAGTTTTCTGTTTTTTTTCTTCCCTCCCGCCCCGTTTTTCTTTTCAAACAGGACCTCACTATTTTGCCCTGGCTGGTTTCGAACTTCTGGGCTCCAACTACCCTCCCAGTTACCCGCCGAGTAACTGGGACTACCAGCTACTTGCACCTACCTGTCCACCAAGTTTTTAATTTCAGTTACTGTATTTTTATAGTTCTAAATTTCTACTTGGTTCTTTTCCAAATTTGCCTTCTCCTTTTTAAATTGTTTGCTCTGACATCTTTAATCTTGTTTCTTATCTCCCTGAACATATTTAAGGTGATATCTAAAATTCCTATATCTAGGGCTCTAAGTCTATTTCTATTGTCTGTCATTACTAGTTTCCTTTTAATGTTATTTTTGTATATTGTACTGTATATATGAAAAACTTAAATCACTGTCATCTTATTTCTGAGACTGAGGTTCTCTAGTCTGCCAGAAGATTCAAAGATGGCCTAAAATCTGAGCAAAGGCTATTTTACTTCCCCCTGAACCCAGTGGTGCTGCTCTCTGAAGTCTCAATCCAGAGTATGGGGTTTACAAAGTCCCCTAACCTCAATAGGCCCCGAACTCTGAATTTTGTACCCAAGCCTTGAGGCTGTCAAAAATATGAGTAGCCTCTTGGCCTGACAGGTAAACACCCCCACAGAAAAAGCACTTCTAAACACTGAGTTACCACTTTAGGTTTCTCTTGGCTTAGTAATTCTTTGCTACTTTGTTCCTAGATAATGAGCAGATTTCTATATATTTTGTCTAGCTTTTCTAGTTGTGCTTGGCAGAAGGGTTAGCCCAATCACCCAGAATGCCGTTGTGAAAATCGGAAGTTCCCCAATTACTGTGAATCTTGCCCTTTAGCATTATTAAGTGCCTTTGTCTCAATGTGTCCCTTCCCCCTTAATTCAATTTTGCCCACTAGCTTCCTTTTATGCCTTTGTATATACCCGCTCATTTTACTTCCTGAATCCCTCTTCTAGATTTTTCTCCTGAATACATCGCAAAGATGTTTTTCTCTTGAATACATCCTACTTATTAATTTATAATTACATCACTGCCATAAAAACAACAAAAAAAGCACAGCCAAGGAGGAAATATTTCCATCTTATACTTACTGTAAATTCTTCTTCCTCTTCATCACCAGATTCTCCAAATATGTCTGCAATAAGATTTCTAGAAAGTAGACAAATATAAAAACATTCATTTGCTTTCTTCTCATTTGCATAGGAACCATTTTCTAAAAAATAGAATTTACATACAGTAAAATGTGCAGCTCTTCAGTGTCCAGTTCAATGAGTTTTAACAAACGTATACACTCATGTAACCAGCACCCGATACACTCATGTAGCCTCCCCAGAAAGTTCTCTCATGGCCCCTTCTAGCTGGTCCCTGAATTTCCACATCCTAGAGACAACTGCCACCGTGACTTCCAACACCACAGATAAATTTCGCCTACTGAACTTCATGTCAATGGAATCACATATGTCCTCTTTGCTTTCTTTCACTTCACATGTTAATTCTGAGATGAATTCTGAGATTCACCCACATTGTAGTGTGTTCAGTTCAGGAACTAAAATACTAAATCCCCAAAGACATGCAATTAGGCAGGACATATTGTATTACAACACAGACCCCTCTGTACTGCCTAGTTAAGAACCCCAGAAAACTCATGTTACACTGTCACTTACTCTTCTTCATTGCCTGACTCACTGTCACTCCCAAACAGATCCTTCTCTTCATTTTTCTTATCAGACAATTCTTTCCCAGCTTCTTCCTCACTGTCAGATGCTATGGTCTTCTCTCTTTTGCCTGACTTGTCTGATACAGCATCACTGTCAGAGTCATCTGCATCAGAGACAACACGGCTCTTCTTTGCTGCTGTTGAAAAGAAAATCATCATTAATTTTATTTTATCATGGTCATTGTATTACCAAGCATAATAGATGCTTTAAAATGGCAGTATGCGGCAAAAAAAAAAAAATCAATCAAAGGGCCTCCTGACACATGGTTTAGAATTTTTAAAATAACTAAATGGCTCATTTAGAGTCATCTTACAAATTTCCTGTTATTTTACTTAAGAAAAAGTGGCCAAAAGATGAAGAAAGATATCATCAATATAAAAGCAGTCACCTTTCCTTTTGGGGAATCGAGAAAATTAAAACCAGATTGACGGGCAAAATTGGCATCCTTTCTATGCTGCCTAGTAGTAACTGAACTAACAAGGACTACATATTTCTTTCTAGGAATAGTCTCCACGTTCCTCTATCATTGCTGGTCAGTTTCAAATTTCCCATCTTCCTTAACAAATCGGCAACATGTCTGGTACCTTTTCCTTCTATAAGAACTGTTGGGTTATAATGAAATATGTCTTTTCCAAAGATGAGTTTCATAAAAAAGTAAACAAGTAAAATTTACTATCTGTGAAAATGGAGTCTTAGGTAGCGGCGGAGACTGAAACACTCCGGGGAGAGATGGTGTCTCTAAATGGAATCCCCTCAAAGTTTCCCTGTATCTGAATATTCAACAAGGTTTAACAAATGAAAAGACGTACCTGTGGGAGCTCAGTTACTGATTGGATGGGATCTAGCGAACTAAGTGTCAAAGAGACCCGCAGCTCACACTGAATACAGTTAGGGGTTTTCATGTAAACATTTTTCTTTGAAACATTACCTCTTCCAGTTTAAAACAAAAAAGTCTGAGTATTTTATATTCCTATTGACATGTGGTTTATCACTTTGAGGCAGTCAGAGATTAATACATGCTAACAGAACTCAAAGGAAATTTACTATTAAGCTTAGCTAATGATAACCAGGGGAAATGAGTGTCCTAGTGATATTTCAGAATATTAAGCTGAATAACAGACTACAGGTCTGACATACCAAGAGGATACACCGTTCCACAGTTACAAGCTCACACAATGAACAAAGCCACTGATAAACAGCCCGAGGTAGTTCCTTACATGCTTTCTCTCCATCTTCACTATCGGAAAGCACCGCCGCCTTTCTCTTCGCTACTTTCTCCTCCTCGCCCTCTTTCTCATCTTCATCACTGTCCAGTTTTTGCTTTTTGGGTTCTTCTTCCTCACTATCAGAACTGTGAAACTTTTTTCTGTCCGTATGGCTGTCTGAGTGGAAGGAGTCATTCTGCATTTCTGTATCCTCTCCCTTATTCTCCCTGTCGCTGTCATCATCTGACTCTGGCTTCTGTTTGTGTCTGGATGCATCCTCAGTTTCTGAGTCACTGGCAGGTCCCTTCCGAGGCCCCTCACTCTCAGAGTCACTGACTCGGGGTTTGGGTAGCTCCTCGTTTTCAGAATCACTGGCCTGGTTCCTTGGGGGATCCTCACTTTCCGAATCACTGATTCGGGGTTTGGGAAGCTCTTCATTTTCTGAGTCACTGGCCTGGTGCCTCGGAGGGTCCTCACTTTCGGAGTCACTGATACGAGGTTTGGGAAGCTCCTCGTTTTCAGAGTCACTGGCCTGGTGCCTGGGGGGTTCCTCACTTTCCGAATCACTGACCTGAGGTTTAGGAAGCTCCTCACTTTCAGAATCACTCATTTGAGGTTTGGGAGGCTCCTCATTTTCGGAGTCACTGGCTTGGTGCCTTGGGGGTTCCTCACTCTCAGAGTCACTGATTTGAGGTTTTAGAGCATCTTCTGTTTCAGAGTCACTAGCAGGACTCTTCTGGAGCTCCTCAATCTCAGAATCACTGGCGGGGTGCTTCCCAACATCTTCATTTTCTGAGTCACTTGCATGCCCATTAAGAAGCTCCTCATTTTCAGAGTCACTCCCAGGTAATTTCCTGGTCTCTTCACTCTCAGAGTCGCTCCCATGCTGATTGACATCCTCATTTTCAGAATCGCTTGCGGGAGGCTCTGCACGTTCCTCAGATTCAGAGTCGCTGTCCTTTTGCCTGTGAAGCTCCTCACTTTCAGAGTCACTAGCATTAAGATTTATGGGCTCATCATTCTCAGAGTCTGTCACATGATGTCCTTTGGTGAGGCCATCTTCTCGATCACTAGGTTCATTCTGAAAAATTAAGTGAAAAAAAATTAGGAAAGTGTAAACAAACAAAAAACCCTTTAGTAGTAAAACATTAAATTTTTTCACTGATTTTTTTTTTTTTTTT